CATTTTCGGTCGAAAGGAAAAGACCACGGAGGATATAGACGAGTCTGGGAGATTCTTCACTGCTCCGGGACCTCATTTCATAAAGTTCGGTGAGCGGTGGATTTATTAAAATTGTTTATTGTATTCCGAAGCATTTTTGAATCTCTCATTGTTGTTAATTATTGAACTCATTGTCCATGGCATTGACGCCTTTTTCGAGTATTCCGATTTCTGGTTTGTTTAGTCTCGTTCGGTAGAGTCATGTTAATTTTGTTAGCGTTAAATTTCAATGACTCGTTATGATTTTGAGTTTTCCTTGACTTAGAAATATCGTGGTCTTAATTGAGTAATTTAACGACTCTTGCCTCGATCCTAAATTATATTTTGGAATTTTTTTTTGCCTCTATCATCGATTTTTTTTTGTCTGGCGAAGTAGTATAATCTCGAGGTCAGTGATGTTATCCTCGAGGTTTTAATTGATATTATCGTGGCCTGTAAAGCCACAAATACTTTTGATTGGATTTTATTTAATAAAATTTTTCTTTTTAGCATTGGAAGTGGAATTGCAACGTCTGTCGACGTTCGAGATTTGTGTTTTGCTGGTAACCCTTTCGGTTACTTTCGACGTTTGTTTACGTTCTCTCGAGGCGATTCCCCTCTGAATTGCTTAACTGTCTTCGTTTTATTGTATGAGTGGGCACGCTTGTTCCTCGTGGTAAATGTAGATTCCGTCACCGTATGAAAATTCTGACTTAACAATTACTAGCTGTTTTATCGATTTCTTTGAATCTTGACCCTAGCATTTTTGATTTATTGTGACTTGTTATTTTCGACTAGTAATTTTACTTATTGACTCATAGTTAGGGAATTTGTTTGTAAATTATTTGTTTGTGTCTTTGTTAATTAATTTATTCTCTTTGTGAACGAGGACAGCGTGATCCCATAGTTGAGAGTAAGACGGGGTTTTTGAGATACTTTATTTTGTTCCGATAACTTATAATATTATTAAATCAAGAATTTGTTACCCCGCAAACATTGAATTAATTTTGAGTTAAAATAACCCACCCATTTCAGAATCTTAGGGCAGTATTTGGAACCCAGCCGCCTCCGCGATTGTTATACTGGCTAGTTGGCAACTGTCCCTATTGTTAATTGATAATTTCGATTTTTGGCCGTTTTTTTTATAAAAACGTCCTGGCGCCTAGCATTTTGTCGTTCGAGGTTGGTCGTCGAGGGCTGCGTATATTTCTCTCTTCTTCCGCGGAGAGCGAAAATACGTCACAATGCATACTTGTGGGGACCATTTTTGGCCCCCTCAGACGATCTGGAGTATAAAAAAATGGTCCAAAATTTCTAGGTACAGATTGACTCAGAATTAAATTCTGAATCGATATGTGCATACTTGTTTGGGCCATTTTTAAAAAACAGTGGAGAATATCTTTGTAAATACGCGATAAAATCCTCCACCCACCGCCAACCCATGGTGAACTCATCACTTCGCCGGCCGCCGTTCGACTACAACCGAGAGCCCGCTCACCCGATTCAAGTCAAACTGGCACCATCTGACAGATTTCCTCACACTAGCAGTTCATGGCATTATTACACTGCGTATTATTTTTCTGAATTAATTAGAAAAACGTTCCTCATTAGCTCCATGTACCATATTTTTTCATAATTCGAAATCGGATAATTATTGTCATTTATTCTGACCATTTCCAATCGTTTCTGGCCCTCAAATGACCATTCGCGGAACATGGGCAGAACATGGGCGGATGGTCCGCCCATGATGAATTGCCAGGGGAGTGAAAATATAGATAAAAAAGATATTGTTGGAAATCCTGTCAGATGACAGGGGCCACCCATACTCCTGTACTCCTCACCCAACGATCTCGCCACGCACTCATCATGGCTCACCTCTGAATTCAGATGACCGAGGGTCATCACTTCTGACACCGAGGCGCCACTTGACGGACAGCTCAAATCTTCTCCCATACTAATAAGTTAAATAGGTCATGTGACCTCCCCAAAATCGTGAAAAGTGCCATATTGGGCAGTTTTCACTCTCATTGTTCTCTCAACCGTAACTAAGTGTACGCGTTTTCCGAACAGCTCCCTATTATCAGCTCAAACTTCTTCTATTGTTATTACCTTTTTTCGGAAATTACTCCCAGTTCCGCTCATTGAACCGCTCAATCATTAAAATTTAGGATCAGCTCGGTGTCTCAAATAGTGGTTTTTTTAATAAATTGACATTAAAAGTCAAGTGAGATACAATTTTTAGACCCGCTCAACGCCTCCCAGAAACAATCCACCTCCATCTCATCCATCACCCTAACAATTCCACAAACCCAGGTCTCTCCAAAAACATTTTGGTCCTTCGAGCCGGATCAGTGGAATATTTTTGGGTGGTTTTTTCGGTCTTTTCACGGTTTTTCGGGAGTGCAAGTGCAACGACAACCCCTCCAGTGGTGCTCAATATCCCGCTCAGCTCTCCACGGTTCCGACAGTCACCAACGGTGTTCAACTAGTACAGCTCGCATAGCTTCAGGAAACTGCCATACCGACCAGCGGGAAAATTCAAACGGCACTACTCATCAACGGAGGCTCTGCTCACTTTAGTGACTCAACTCTATTGCGGCAGTCAAGCTAAGTAGTTTTTCCGCAAATTTTCACCTTCCTGTCTGAATTATTAATTTTTTTGGTACAACTCATCTACGTTGCGGAATAACTTTCGCGTTTTTCCCTGGGTTTTACACTGGAATGCCTACTGCCTGCTTTCCGACTCAGTTTCTAGGACATCATCTCGCATCTTTCGAATTCTGTTGATTTTCTGGCTGCTCACTAGCAATGATATGGCCTCCTACGAAGCGACAATGGAGTTCAACCGCTCCAGAGCGGCCTTTCTGGAACGAATCTATGAGGAAATGCTTACGGATGAGGCAACGCACTACACCATCTCCAATCTCCAATCCAAACTGGAAATGCTGGAAACTTATTGGGAGAAATTCGAGGCGACTCATGAAAAACTCATCAGCAGCAGTGCCAAGATTGAGGGAGTATTGGAGATGCCGTACTTCAAGGAACGAGTCTTCGATGCCACCATCACTCATTATCATGAAGCTAGAGGGACCCTCACTCAGCTCATCGACCAGAAGGGAGCCTCAACCACTCCTCGTCGTTCCAGTGGCCAAGGGTCATCTCAACCCTCGCACACGAAGAAATACCTCCCCGAGATATCGCTCCCCAAATTCTCTGGACAATACTCGGGCTGGCGCTTGTTCAGAGACCTCTTCTCATCGCTCGTCGGCTCCAACGTGGACATCTCCAATGTGGAAAAAATGCATTATCTGCGCACAAGCCTCACCGGAGAACCAGAGCAAATCATCTTCAACCTCACCATTTCGGACGACTCCTTTGGAACTTCCTGGGATCTCTTGCTCAATCGATATGAGAACAAGAGGCTGCTCATCTCTGCCCACCTGGAACAGCTCCTCAATGCCTCACCTATGACTTCTCACTCAGCCAGGGAGCTGAACATCCTTCTCACTCGAGTCACGGAAGGACTGACAGCCCTGGAAGCTCTTGGAGCTCCCACAGAGCAGTGGGATTACATTGTAGTCCATGTGACAACTCAGAGACTCACTCCGAAGCTTCGCGAAGGCTGGGAATTGAAAGTCGGATCATTCCAGGAATATCCCTCATTCTCGGACCTAAAAACTTTTCTGACAGTTCGGGCACGTGCGATGGAAAGTAGCGAAATTCACGCACCCCCCAAATCTACTTCCGCCAGCACGGGGAGGACATCACAGGCTCCAACTCGAACTCCAACCACAGCCAAGGTGCACAAGGCAACAGCTCAACCCGATAGAATACAAGGCTCAGCTCAATCTGGGAAGGTGACTTACCCCTGCTCCATGTGTGAGGAGAATCATTATCTCACGTCCTGCTCCAAGTTCAAGAGGCTCAGCGTAACAGCTCGCAGGGAGGTAGTTGAACGACGATACCTCTGCTACAATTGTCTCGGTCGACATTCAGTGAGAGATTGTCGATCCAATCTAAATTGCCAGATCTGTAGGGGTCACCATCACTCTCTTCTTCACGTCCAGACCTCAGACCAGCCACAACGTCCAGCTCCGACCAAGGCCGTCGTCAACCAACCCTCACTGAAAAGCGTACCAACGACGACCTACGAGTACAACGATGGCTCTCCCCAAACCGTCACGGTTGCGCCAGCTCCAACCACTTCAGCAGAATGAAGTGATGACGCTCAGAATGCCTTCTCCTGTTCTGCCCATCTCTCGAATTCAGCTCCAGACGTACGACCCGGAGTACTCCTGGCCACCAGCCTCGCCATGTTAGTGCATCCAGTCCGACCAGCTCACAAAGTTCGCCTGCTCATCGATCCAGGGTCGGAGATCTCCATAATTGCTGATCAGCTCGTACGCCTTCTTGGATGACCTAGGAGTAACACCTCACTCAGGATCTCAGGAATAGGAAATACGGGTTCTGGGCCAGCATTAGGCAAGGTGCAGCTCAACATACAGTCCACTTACTCGCAGTACCAGCTCAGAGTAAATGTCTATGCTCTTGGCCAGCTCACAACTTCTCTGCCCGCATTCTCATCGGGACCACTCACATGGGATCACCTCCACGGACTTCAACTGGCTGATCCCGAATTTTTAACACCAGCGCCTATCGACATCCTGCTCGGCGCTGATGTATATGGCCAACTCATCCTGCCCAAGGTTATATCGAGCGGACCTCACGCTCCAACGGCTCAACTCACACACCTTGGATGGATTGTATTCGGACCGACTGAAGGTCCAAGATCAGCTCAGGTTGCCTTGTCAGCTCACATATCAGTCTCAAATGAAGAGCTCGATAGCCTGCTCACGAAATTCTGGGTTCAGGAGGAAGTTCCTGGAAACCCGAAGGCTCAGCTCACTGAAGACGAAGCTCAGTGCGAAGAACATTTTACTAGGACTCATACAAGGGACCACTCAGGCCGCTAAGTCGTGCGAATGCTCCTCAAATCACCGCCAGACCAGCTCGGAGAATCGAGATTTTCAGCGCTTGCTTGCCTCCATCGTCTGCTCAGAAGGTTATCACGTGATGAGGAATACCAACAGCTCTACTCATCATTCCTCAAGGAATACGAGGAAATGGACCACATGCGTCCCGCATGCGGACGGCTCATCATGTCAGATCATAATCGTCAGCTCACAGTGGGGTGCTCGGCTTCCGAGATGACCTTGGCATATGGAACTTCGCTTCCAGGAGGGTTGAAGGTCTCGGGTGGTCGGCATCCCTCTCAGGCTCACGCTCATTCGGAGTACTTCTTTCCTCATCACGGAGTCCTCAGAGCAAGCAGCGAGACAACAAAGCTCAGGCTCGTTTTCAACGGCTCAAACAGGACCAGCTCAGGGAAATCCCTTAACGACATCACGCATCCAGGGGCCAAACTCGAGCAGGACATCTCGGATGTACTACTCTACTCACGCAAGTTCAAGCTCATCTTCATGACAGACATCACCAAGATGTTCCGTCAGATACGCGTACATCCAGAAGATTGGCCGCTCCAGCAAATTTTGTGGACCGACTCGCATGGAAATATCATCCCATACCAGCTCACAACAGTCACATACAGCACACGCTCAGCTCCGTTCCTTTCCGCACGCGTATTACTACAGCTCGTGGAGAATGAAGTATCACATTATCCACTGGCAGTAGAGTCGCTCACCAAAGGACGGTACGTGGATGATATCTGTGGAGGTGCCGACTCGCACGAACAGCTCCTACTAATAGCTCACCAGGTGACACAGCTCTGCGCATCAGGGTGCTTCCCATTGGCAAAATGGCATTCGAACAGCTCAGCCCTGCTCACGTCACTGTCACCCGAAAGCACCTCTGACGATCAGCGACCCATTGAGAACTCACTCACCAATATCTTGGGGGTCTCATGGCATCCCTACACCGATCAGTTTAAATTCTCGTCAGCTCAGCTTGAAACCTCCTCCATCACGAAGAGAATCATTCTCTCGGACACCGCCCAGCTCTTCGATCCACTAGGATTCTTAGCACCGTTGGTCGTAAGGGCCAAGATCCTGCTCCAGTCACTCTGGATCGAGAAATTGGGATCGGACGAGCCAGTCTCCCCCACCACTGCTCAACGCTGGCGTCAATTTAGAGAGGAGCTCAGCCAGTTATCAGAGGTCACAATACCGAGGTGGCTAGGACTGCTCACGGATTCCGTAGTTGAAGTGCACGGATTTTCGGATGCATCACAAGTGGCAATTTCAGCCGTCCTCTATATTAAGGGTTCCAACTAAGGTACGGCTCCTCGAATCACCTTGGTTTGCTCCAAGACCAAGGTAGCACCGCTCAAACGGCTGACAATCCCACGATTAGAACTGACCGCAGCTCTGCTCCTCGCCAAGTTAGCCAGCTATGTAAAAGAGCAGCTCAAACTCACGAATTCTTCCACCTTCCTATGGACATCCCCCTCGGTGACGCTCACATGGATTAGCTCACACTCATCAAGATGGAAGGAATTCGTGAAGAATCGGGGATTACTGATCCAGGAACTCACTCAGCAGGCTCACTGGAGAGTAGTACCTGGCAGGGAGAATCCAGCAGACTGTGCCTCTCGAGGTCTATCAGCTACTCAACTAATAGCTCACAAGCTCTGTTGGACGGGACCATCATGGCTTCACCAGGACAGCCCATCATGGCCAACTCACGTTCTCGAAACGGACATCGCTGCAGATCTCGAGGGAAGGCCAGGAGTCTTATTCCATGCGAGAGCTCAACATATAGCTCTCTGGGACCTCATCGACAGATTCTCATCGTTCAATCGACTGATCAGGGAAACAGCAATCTGTCGACGATTCATAGCACTGCTCAGAAGAACCCCCAACTCTTCTCTGCAGAACCCGCTCAACCTTGGTGATCTTGAAGAGGCTCGAATCTTCTGGATCAAACTCACGCAGGCAGCTCACTTCAAGGATCAACTCAGGACAATCTCACGAGGGGAGAGATTTAGAAGATCACACCCTCTTACTAAGCTCACGCCATTCATCGATCGCCAAGGAATATTGAAAGTTGGCGGAAAGCTCAAGTTCGCTCACCTCGGCCCAGAGAGCCGTAATCGAACGATCATCCCGAGGGAATTGCGGCTAGCTCAACGGCTCATAGGACAAGCTCACATACAAACACTTCACGGAGGTACACAGCTCACACTTAGACACCTCAGAAGCACCTACTGGATCCTCGGGGGCCGAGCCCCAGTACGCTCCTTCATTCTGAAGTGCGTGAAGTGCACTCGACAACGTAGAGTACGAGGTCAACAGCTCATGGGTCAGTTGCCACCGACACTGGAGTCGACTACGCCGGCCCAGTATCGCTACGCTCATGGAAGGGACGGGGACACAAATCATACAAGGGCTGGTTGGCAATTTTCGTCTGCATGGCCACCTCAGCAGTGCATCTCGAGGTCTTGTCAGATTACTCAGCCGACGGTTTCCTGGCAGCCTATCGGCGGTTGTCAAGTAGGCGTGGGATTGCTCACTCCCTGTTCAGCGACTGTGGTACGACCTTCCTCGGCGCCGACAAGGAACTCAAGAAGCTCTTCTCTTCAGGAACAGCTCAATCGAGACAGCTCGCTCAGCTCCTCATCAACGATGGTACACAGTGGTCCTTCAATCCTCCAGGCGCCCCGCATTTTGGAGGAAAATGGGAGGCCGCGGTAAAGTCGGTGAAGTTCCATCTCAACCGTACCCTCGGAGAGGATTTGCTCACGTTCGAGGAGCTCACCACTTTACTCAGTCAAATCGAGGCAGTTCTCAACTCTCGGCCACTGGAACCGCTCACCGATGACCCTGATCACTGCTCAGCACTGACCCCAGGTCACTTCCTCATAGGTCATGCACCCACGACTCTTCCAGAACCATCGCTGGAACCCCTCAACGTCTCAAGGTCCTCACGATGGCCGCTCATTCAGCAGAAACTCCAAGGATTCTGGAAGAGGTGGTCCACTGGGTATCTTCAACGTCTGCAAGCTATATCCAAGTGGCACCACCCAAATCATCAAGTGGGAATCGGCTCACTGGTTCTACTCACGGATGAGAGGTTCCCACCATCCAAGTGGCCTCTCGCCCGCGTTACTGCCCTGCATCCAGGAACGGACGGACTCACCAGGGTAGTGACAATAAAGACAGCTCAAACCACGCTCACAAGACCAGTCGCCAAACTGGTAATCCTACCAGTATCACCACCAGAAGACTAGAACCAGGAAAACGTAACGGCCTCTTACTCCTGGACTTCGCTAACCGTGATGGACTTACAACCCGGATCGACCGACGAGATTCAGCGTAAGAGTGGCGTCATCAGGACCAGACGGGATTTACGACCCCTATCGTGTCGAATGACGCTACGCCAGCCAGCAGATGATGGATCTACTCAGGGATCGTCTCAAGGGTGACATCTCATCACACTCACCAAGAGCGTTTTGATGTTTCGTTTTGTTTCAGCTCAACCAAGACATCTCATCAGGCAACGACAGGTGCTGATGGTCGGGGAGAATGTTGGAAATCCTGTCAGATGACAGGGGCTCATTCACCCATATCCATGTACTCCTCACCCAACGATCTCGCCACGTACTCATCATGGCTCACCTCTGAATTCAGATGACCGAGGGTCTTCACTTCTGACACCGAGGCGCCATTCGACAGACAGCTCAAATCTTATCCCATACTAATAAGTTAAATAGGTCATGTGACCTCCCCAAAATCGTGAAAAGTGCCATATTGGGCAGTTTTCACTCTCATTGTTCTCTCAACCGTAACTAAGTGTACGCGTTTTCCGAACAGCTCCCTATTATCCGCTCAAAATGCTTCCATTGTTATTACCTTTTTTCGGAAATTACTCCGAGTTCCGCTCGTTGAACCGCTCAATCATTAAAATTTAGGATCAGCTCAGTGTCTCAAATAGTGGTTTTTTAAATAAATTGACATGAAAAGTCAAGTGAGAAACAATTTTTAGACCCGCTCAACGCCTCCCAGAAACAATCCACCTCCATCTCATCCATCACCCTAACAATTCCACAAACCCAGGTCTCTCCAAAAACAGATATCCAACCACTCATTGACAGATCTTCATTGGAATAATGGAATCAATAGAGTTTTTTTACTTGATCGATTAATTATTTCAGTATCCATTATCTAGTATAAGTCAAAACCAGTTTTAACTCAGAATAGTTAACTGGTTTTCATGGAGAAAACCTAGAACAAGGCAAAGAAACTGGCAATTATACCAGAATTGAATCGGGGTAATCTCTGGGCCTGATGCTTCAAGAAAATTGAGGAAAAATTGTACGGAATTATAAATAATGGGAATAATAATAGTGTTAGGTATAATTTCCTTCGGGGAACTTTACTGGGTATGAAAAATGTGTTTTGCTCTTTATCTATTCGATTCGGACACTTTGTGTTTTGAAAAGATCATTAGAATTTGGTGTAAAAAAAGTCTTTTCCCATTAATGTATTTAGTAGAAAAGAATTTTCATATGAGAATAAATCGTCTTTAAAATAATTTTTAGCGTTAAAAAGAGTCCCTCTTAGATTCACACTTAGAACAATTCATTAACGATCGATCGAAAACTGTGATTGATCTGTCTCTCAATTCTTTCAGATCCTCCCTTTTTTTCGCTCAAAATTAATGAGAACTATCCTAATTTTCCACGAGGATTTCTTCAATGTTACTGAATACTTTTCAGTAATTTCAAGTTGGAGATGTTAATAAAAAAAAATTATGTTCAAATAAGTGCTAATGGAGATTAACAGAAATCTTAATTTTATGAAAAGTGCTCCGACATTCCTCCATGTTATCAAAAAAATCCAAATGTTTAAGGGTACATCACATGATAACGATTATTACAGGTCTAAAATTGTGAAAATTTCAACAATAATAAATGTACATACTGATCTTTGAATGACTTTTGGTGATGTGGTCCTTCAATTGTTTTGTCATAGAATGTCAAACACTGACACTTAAAATTCCGAGGTATTTCAATTAAGAAATGAAGCATCAAAACTATTCGACAAGTGATCAGAATCCGACAATCCATAAATCAACTTTTTTTGCATTATTAGACGAACACGTGAATAAATGTGATGCATATGCAAAACTACTAGTAACCTCGTTACGCATGTGCTAGAGAAACGAAAAAAATCCCGCCATCCGTTCGTTAAGGAACTGTACATAGACGTGCGTGTTCTGTTTGCCGGCTGTATTACAATATGGATGTATGACTCTATTGTAGATTCTTCCTTGCAACCACATTCACGCAATAGTTCTCCCACCTTTTATCCCACTCCCCGTGGGCCAACTTTTCATCTATTAGGGACGAACACGTGAGGCTAAAGGGACAATTGCGATTTGAAAGAAAAATTTAAATTGTGCGAAACAAAAACGGTAATATACAACCAATCGTGGTGACGTGGTTTCTTCATGAGACCTCGTTCCTCATTGGCATTAAATGTCATTAAGACAATTTATAAAAAAAATACTATTGAAATATTAGTTCGTCTTTAGTTAACCTCAACCAGCGAAATTAGTACTAAAATCTTGATCGACTCTAGCTAAATTTCTGCTTTGTAACCAAATCTTTAATACTTTCATTCACTTTTAAAGATGAATGTATAAGAAAGTGATGGAAAATTTGTTAGACGAACAAAAATTTTGATGTAATGCACACTATTAATTTTCGCATAAATTAGAAAAACATCGTCACGAAAAGTTGCGTCATGTTCTCAGGTGAAGGATCAAGGGTTCTACGTACATTTAAAAGGAGGCTTGGGAAGACAGTGTGATAATCGGTGAGTGACGAATATTCTTTACTGTAATCTTTATGACTCTTCCTTGGCGAATTATTTTCTCTACCAATGACCAATTCATCATCGAATATTTAAAGACGGGGCGGAGGGTATAACCCACAGAGATCTTTAACAGAAGATTTCATCGGTTGACCATCTTTAGAGGCCATTTTTTTGAATTGTTAACTTGGGATTTTTCCTGGGATTTAAGTGATTAATCTTGAGATTGTTTTTTCCTCACAACATATACAAATGGGGAGTGAATTGGACAATTGGAATAACTAATTTTTGCTCACGTTTAACTATGAATGAACATCTCGTTGCTGACGAAGGAGAGCGACGTTTTCATGAAAATTTCACTGTCTATTTCTATTTTCATGATGTCTATCGATCAATGACTGGAAAAATGCAGTTATTCTGGTTGAGCAATTTTCTAAAAAAATAAATTCTTTATTTGGGAATTTAATTTTGTAATAAGTTGTTTTCTCTATCTCCAGAAACCGAAAAAAGTTAATTATGTTAATTAACCAATTTTAATAATTTTTCAAACCATCAAGTGTTCTGCTGACTGGAAGTGTCTCTTCAGAGAGTGAAAAATAGTTTCGGGTGACCTTTCTTGAATTCGCTCAACTCGGCAATAGGACAATTCGAGAACAGAAACTACTAATTGATTTAATAATTCATTTAAAAATTAAATTTGTTCCAGTTGATCTTTTTTGTTCAGGGGATGAAAAATATTGAAAATTTAAGCCTTCTGAACACCCCACGTACGAAAAAATTCAATGGAAAACCCCGACTAGTTTTCTATGAAATTCCCTGGAATTTCTGTTGGTGATTATAGGATTTTTTACTGACCCTATTGAGATAATTTCGTAGAAAAAAAAAATAAACTTTTTCTGTATAAATTGTGTAACGATTTTTCCTCTATGGCCTCAGCAAATACTGAAAAACCCTAGCGCATTGGATCGATATCCGAAAACAGGGCCAAAACCATTATCTTCGTTCTCGCCACTCCGACGACTCTGGAACGACAAAACCATAAAAATCTAAACGAAACTCCCGGGATAATCAGCAGCTCATTCAAATCCTGAAAAATGTGTTTAGGGCGCCAGCCGATTTTTAGCTACGTGGAATCGGCGAACCGCAACCGTAACTCTAACCGTATTCAAAACTCAATTTTTCACTGATCATCCCCAGCATTTCCTACCAACACAAACTAAACCTAGAGCCGTGGAGGTACGAGGGTACGGGACTGCTCAGTTGCTCAGTGCGCGGGTCGTGGAGAGAGGGCTGGATTCGTGGACAAGAGTATCATTTTTCAAAATCGGAATGGTCTCGAGAATCTGAATCAACATTGAAGAATTTATGGCGACAAGGATGGGAGGAGGAGAAATAAAAAAAAAAGATTTACTATTATCCTTACATGTTTTACTATTGAACACATAAAAAAAAATAAATCCTTTTTTCCAACAGAACGCTTACAATTAATATGCTCGCTTAGTCTACATTTTATATACGACTGGCATTTGACCAAAAGGGAAGGCCTAAATTTTTAATAACCTATAAGGTGAATAATAATACACGGGAGTTTTATGGGGTAGTAATGAGGAGAGAACGGCTTTTAATTTTATTAAATCAATTATGTTATTCAGGTGGGAATGATAGGAAACTGCAGGGAATTCTACTCGAGTTCGAGCGAGAGAGAGAGAGAGAGGTACGACCTTAAGATTCCTATCGAACTGTTGATAGGTCGTAAAATTCTATTAGGTAGTATGATATAGTCGTTCGATAACGACTTTATCCGATTTGGTAGCCCAATTCTCCCTAATTTATAAAATCAAGGATATTTGTCGGTTGGGTAGCCAGAGGAATATTTCGGTAACAGAAATGGCCCGCAGGTATAGGGAGTCATGAGGCAGCTTATTTCCCTCATTAGGTAGCGTTATCCGGGGCTTTGGTAGAGGAATCGGTAATTTCTAGCCAAAACCTGGCTTACCTACGCGGCCGCCGCCACACCGGGCGGTGTAATAAAATTTTTAGGTAGCGGAAAGGTCCTCTGACGCAGGGAGCCCTTAGGTAATGTGTTTTCCCGGTTAGGTAGCATAACCCTTACCAATTATCTAAATCAATAGGGTCCGCAGGGTAGATAGCCGTACAGGTAGCAAACCGAAATATTGAAATTTACGGAAAGGGCCTGAGACCCTGGGGAATGTATAGGTAGCATATTCCCCTGTTTAGGTAGCGTAATCTGGGGGTTTGGTATAAACTTTTCGGATCACGGGCGAAATCAACAACCGTGCTGCGGCAGATAGCCGTAACCAAATTTTTCCGTTCAATTATTGAGGGATTAATTCGCGACTAAACGGGTTTTAACGGTCTGAACGGTAAACTATTAATTAACCAACTGATTGCT